TCTTCGTCGACGGACTCGAGTAACTCGAGTTCAAGCAATGCCTGCACTCATGGCTCGAGTGCACCGCCGAAGAAGAGGCAGAGAGTGGTCGCCGAACAGCCGAGACTTGTGGTCACCTCTTATGAGGAGCTCGACATTGGCGTAAGACTTGATGCCATGGCTGTCGAGTGACTGTCACCTCACGGATCACTTGTTTGTGTGTTTTAGGTGTTGAGGTATCAAAACCGACGGTTAGCCGAAAGACTGCAACAAAGACAACGACTGGAAGCGGATCTGAAGGCTCGGATCGAGCAGTTGGAGAAGAAGCAGACCAACGATGAAGTGATCACTTATGTCATCAACAGATACTGGAATCAATTGAACGAAGACTTAAGGGTTCTGTTGCTTCGCTTCGACGCCGAGACCAGCGATGAGACGGAGAATAAGAATGAGAACGAAGAGACGACTAGTTTTCTGAGACAACTGTCCAATTGGGACAAAGAGGAAATGGATGAGAACCTGAAGCAGAGGGTGCAGGTGTCCACCAGAGCCGTGGCTAAAGTGCTTCAGGCCTTCGACCGAATAGTTCAAAGAAATGCCAAAATAATGTTAGCCCTCAAAGGTTTGGTCACTGTTTGGCGGGTTTGTTATGACCAGAAACTCATGGTTTGGTTCTGTGTTTGATAGGCGATGATAGCGACGGACCGCCGCCTGATTTGAACGAATCCGTCAAAAAGGCGAACATTGAGCTCACGAATGAGAATAAGAGTCTCAACTGTTTGGTGACATCTCTGCACGAGAAACACCACACAATGGGCTTAGAGTTGACTGAAATGAAGGATAAGTTGGAAATGAGTGAAACACAGATCGACGAACTCAAGAACCGCATCGACGACATGGAGTTCGAGCTCAACAGGACTCGCATTCGGGTGAGCATTGGATTCACTATTTTGTGGTGCAATTGGTGTTGAATGCATTGAATTGAATGATAGGAACAACGACTCGAAGACCATCTCTACGAAGCGCGTGAAAAGTTGAGAGATTTGCAGAACTCTAACCAAAACAACGCTAACAGTAATGCCAACAACGGTGAGGACCAGAAGCCGGTGGTGTCGGCCTCCTCCGCGCCCACAGACGCTGTCAGTCACTCGAAGTTAGAGGACTTGAAGAGAGATCTCGAAGAACAGCGAGATTTAGCCAATACTCGACTCACAGAACTGGAACTTCTCAACAAAGACCATAAAGTAGTTGTCTCTAAGAAATGTTGTGTTTTTAGTTTTGCTTCAATTGTGTGTTGTTTTACATGATTTTAGGAAACCTTAAAATTAGTGGAAAAATACAAAATGGATTTACAATGCATTCCGGAAGCGGTGATTGTGGACACGGCTGAGTACAAGTGTCTTCAGTCACACTTTTCGGTCTTATATAACGAATCGATGCAATTGAAGACACAGTTAGAGGAGAGCCGGACGCAGCTGACGAACGCCAAGAACACACATCTGAGACAAATAGAGCACATGGAGAGCGAGGAGCTGACGATGCAAAAGAGGTTGAGGACTGAATTGATGCAATTGGAGGACTCGTTGTCTCAGGTGAGGAAGGAGTACGAGATGTTGCGACTGGAGTTCGAGCAGAATCTGGCGGCCAATGAGCAGACGGGTCCCATAAACCGAGAAATGCGTCATTTGATCACAAGTCTGCAGAACCACAACCAACAGCTCAAAGGCGAGAACGCGAGGCTCAAGAAGAAGCTGAAGGAGTCGACGCATGAGATCACGAAATTGAAACACACTTTAGATATCAGGGAAAACACACCGAAGGAGGAGAAGGCTAAAGAAAAGGAGACTAATTCCGTGTCCAATACAGACGTTAAGACAGAATCAAAACCAGTGGTTGGAAGCGATTCCACGACTACTGTCGTCAAAGACGAGCCTCTGATTAAGGATGAGTTGGAGACAATAGAAGTCAAGAAAGAAAAGGTATTTTGAGTTTAAAATGTTTTCAAAATGTAACTAAAATTGATGTCAACTGATTGATAGAGTGACACAAAACCCGCTAATATTGGTTCGCAATCGACGAGTACAACACCAATACAATCGACTTCACAGACACACCACTTAGGAGGTCATCCTATAGCACACCACACATCTCATCACAAACACCATCACAGCCAACATGTGGTCAAAAAGGAGCAGCAAATAGATTCCGACCAATCATTGAGTGAATCTTTAGGCGAAGTGAAGACTGAACGCAAGTCTGAAAGTGATTTGTATCGCGAGAACAGAGAACTCAAGGGTCAGCTCAAGAACGCTATGCAGGCGCAGAGAGAACTCAAGCTTTTGTTGGATATGTTTAAGTCAGTCGACAAAGAAAAGAGGTATGAATTGAAGACACATTTCATCATTTATTGGTTTATATGTTTTATTTGAACGACATTTTCAGAGATAAGTCGCAACTGATGGCCAATGAGAAGAAAGCGAAGATAGAGATCGAAGAGTTGAGGAAACAGTTGAACAAAATGCAAGAAACGGAACGAAGGGATCGCCGAAAGCTGGTCGACGAAGACGTTGTCCGCAAACTAAACAAATACGAAGAAATGGTTCAACAAATGCAGAAAAGTCTGGCCGTTCAGAAACAGGAAGAGGAGGCGTTGCTCAATGAGATGGAAGTGACGGGTCAGGCGTTTGAGGACATGCAGGAACAGAACCTTCGACTTATTCAACAGCTCCGGGAGAAAGACGACGCAAACTTTAAACTGATGTCCGAACGAATCAAATCCAATCAAATCCACAAACTGTTGAAAGAGGAGAAGGAAATGCTTACCGAACAAGTGATCTCTCTTCAGGTAATATTCACTTTATATGACATTCCTATCAATGTCTGGGAACTCATGCTGTGTTGGAACTGACGGCTAGGCTCAGGTCGAGGCTCAGAACCAAGTGGTCAGAAAACTAGAGGATAAGGAACGGCTGCTTCAGAATAATTTGTCGACAATTGAGAAGGAGTTAAGTCTTCGGCAGCAGGCGATGGAAATGCATAAACGAAAGGCCATCGAAAGCACGCAATCGGCCGCTGATCTGAAACTGCATTTAGAGAAGTATTTGGCACAAGTGAAAGAGGCCCAGAGCACCGTCGCCGAGAAGACCAGTGCGTGGCAGCACGAGTTCTTCAAGACTCAACGCCTCCACGAAGAGGTCCAGCTCTACAAACGCAAGTACGAGAGGGCGAAGAAGTTCGAGTTGGCCACCACTGCCGATGAAGTCCTACAGGTCTCTATCAAATACACCCCACCTCTCTCTCT